AAGACTTTGATGTCATTTCCTATTATCAATTGTATTTGTTTTACATGTTTATTAATTGAAGTGCTAATTGTTTATTTAGGAAAATTAACTTGTTCACACTGTATATTATACGTACAATATAATATTAATATTTTAATTTAATTTTAATTATAATATATAATTTCTGGGGTTTTATGTATTGAACATCAAACACTGGCCCCTTAATGAAATGACACTGTAGGCAGTGGCATTTCATTCAGCTCATTTGAGTTTAAAATGCCTGATCTAAATGTTAGCCAAACAGAGCAATAATAGTTAGACATTTGCTAAAGGTCAAAGGTGGCTTTAACAAAACTAGAGTTTTTTCAAAGATTAACTTTAATGCATTGGAAAAAACCACAGATGAAAAAGGAACTTTTAATTATAATAATAATAATAATAAATACTTAGATTTATTCACTCTTTATACACAAAGAACTTTGCTTTTGCTTTTTTATCAAATTTACATCATTAATTTTTTTTTATTAATCATATAATCAACCTGAGCTTCAGTCTCCTTAAACTGTTTGTGAGATTCTCTCTAGCACAGAGACTGCTGTGAAGCCAGACAGCTACATGTGATCTAAACACTGCTGTATTCCAGTTTATATAATAAACCCTTCTTTTTTGTTGCACACGAGGGATGACATTAGAGGAGCAGACTCACCTTGATGGCTTGAATCTGGCGTGCCTCCTGTTTGTGTCTTAGAAGCTCCCTCTAAAAAGTGAACAAAGACATTGGAGAGTTGGCTCTTTCCTAAATAGGCTCTCATTATACAGTATTTACTTATTGTACCTTGAGATCAAGGGCTTCCTCTGTGCTTTGGTCCAACCTACTGCGGATTAGAACCTTCAAAGTGGAAGAGAATGAGAAGGATCAGCGTCATTAAAAGAGTGGAAAACTGTGGAAATGTGATGCACAAAGAGAAGACTAGTCTTGTGACAGTGAGCTGGTAGATTAGAGAGATTCGTGTGGAGACACACTTGAAGCCTCCAAACCTCTAGACTACAGAGGGGCTGAAACTGACACTCCACACACACACACACACAGATTTAGAAACGGGGGAGCTGGCGAGTATTGTTTTGTCAAGTTAACAAGAAAGGCAGGACGTTGTACCAGCTGTTGTTCAGGGTTAGCTCTGCCATCCCCAAAGCTCACAGATCTGTCCTGGTCCTCCTCAGGGAGGGAGCCGTGCAGCAGGAGAGCCTGAGGAGGTTAAAAGAAAGACAACGTTACAGGTTTATGTGCATGAACAACGTGAAGCTGCCAGTAACAGATGGTCAGTCATTTGTGTTAGGAACAGCTCAATACAACTTTTTCATGTCTGATACTGGTAACGATTCTGCAACTCAGAGTTTCTGCTGATACCAGTATCAATCTGAATCTTCTTTTCTCCTCTGGCATGCTGCTGACGTTGGGTTTATCACATGTTGTGAAGGTTAAGTTGAGCATTTGGACTTGGGTAACAGATGACCTGTAGTTGTTTTTTTTTTTCTACGTTCGATCCTGATGTTTTGTAGGATGAATATCGGTCTGATACCGATCCTGACTATCAGATGGAGCCAATCTGTGCTTTTGGTGGGTCTCCCAAAACTGAAATGAGGCAACATTGCAAGAAGTTTTCATCACAATATTGCATAATTATCCTTCCTTCCTCATTGTCACTGTCTTCTGTGAGCAAATGGGCAGCAGTGGAGAGAAAAAAAAATAATTTTCTTCAACAGGAAGAACTCCCCAGGAGACCTGGACTCAGGCTGTGGAGCCATCTGCACCAGCCAGTAGGGAGGGGTACGAGGAGGAGATAAACAATATGTACTGTAAATACTGTGTAATAGGGCCGTTAAAATGGATACAGTACATTAGCAAAATCAAAATTCTCTACCTTAAATGTAGTGTTTTTTGAAAGATTTGTAAATTGCGTTGTAATGCTCTTGTTGTTCCCTTTTTTAGGCCACAAGATAAACGGTTTAGGGTGCGATACCACTCTATTTCCGTACAGCCTGGTTCGTAAGAGACTGTAAGATGCGCAGTATTGACTAAAACCCATTGTTTTAAATTATACTTCATAATTATCTTTTTATCGTTTTCCATCTGAATGATTCCATCATTTGAATTAGTCAAAAATAAAAACAGGTTCGAACGACAATCAGCTCAGGGTGTATGACCCTGTACCTTTTTGCCGATATTCAGATTTTTGGATATTGTCCAAACACTTAATTCTGATTGTGATATCAACCGATACCGATATGGGCCTGGTAATATTTATTTATTTATCTATTCAAACCACTGTATGAGTATACTGCCATCTATGGACTTTCACTTTAATATACAGCCATTTATCCCCAAAACTATTTTTAGGGCACACATCATTTGGCGAAACCCAGGGTTTCGGGTTTTCATTATCGGAGGAAAAACATACAAAAACATGCTAATATCCGGCCAATAATATCGGCTAACCGGTATTATTGGACATCACTACATACAGTTAATTGCTGTGCATGTGTGTGTACGTATGTATATACTGGAGGTCTCCATATGCAAAGTCTTTCAGGAACCAACCTGTAGTCGGAACACCATCCTCCTGGCCTCCTGCATCTCTTTCTCCAGTTGCTCCTGGTGAACATCAAGCTGCTCCTCCCAGGACTTTGGCTCCTCCTCTTCCTCATTAATTTGCCCGAGGGACGGACACAGTCCGCAGAATGGCACCTCATCTGTAAAAAGGTAAAGGATCAGGGAATAGCAGACCAGAAGGATTTTCTTTTAACTACAGGACAGCCTTCTCTCCAGGAAGTGATGTGCAGTCAACCGACCAACCTGTGACAGATTTCCTCTGTGTCAGCTCTGATTTGTCTTCCTGAGATTCCCTGTGGTCCTTAGTCTCATCATGCACTGCTTCTTCTTTACTGGTGTCAGTGGACTGAGTGATGGGGCACTCGTCTTTAGGAGAATGAGCAGGGCTGGCAGAGCTAAGACTGAAACATAGTTGAGGTAAATGAAACCAGCTACATAAAAATAAGGACACAAGTTTTATTATATTAACAAAAAACAATCATCTCCTGAAGAAAAGACAAATATATAAAATTGTTTATGCAAAATATTGCTTTAGCCATCAGGAAATAGACTACTTAACAAACAGAAGCAAGAATGAAAAGAAAGATGTCAGAGAGCTGC